TTATTTTCGAAAGTGATTCAAAAGATAAAACTGTAAAAAAACTTCGTGAATGGTCTCGTGTAGAACTATATACATATAGTAAATTAATAGAACTGTATCCAGAACGTACTGATCGACTTGCTTATGGTCGAAATATGCTAATGGATAAAGCACATCTTTTACTACCTGATTATATTTTTATTGTCGATTTAGATAGATTTCTAACATCCGTTTCTTCTTTTCTTTCAAATTTTCAATATGACACAAATCAATGGTCGGTCATGACAGCAACAGCACATAATACCTATTATGATATTTGGGCATTACGTACGTTATCTGATTCAGTTATGAATTATGATGTTTGGCATCGAGTGTCGGAACTTGAGACACCTCCGAATAACTATTGTCATCAATCAGTTTATGATGGAATTATTGGAATTCATATAAAGCATATTCCGATTGAACATGGTTTAATCGAAGTACGTTCTGCCTTTAATGGTGCTGGATTATATAAAGTAAATTCGACATATAACTGCAAATACGATGGTGGAGGATATACTTGTGAACATGTGCCATTTCATTTGTGTATACGAGAAAAAAATCAAGCAAGAATATTTATCAATCCCGAGTTTCAAGTTGGTTCAGTATAAGTAATTGTAAAACGCAGGAGTTTAAGTTTAAATGAAGTCATGAATATAAATCTATTTGAAACACAGTGGTTTGTATTCTTAGATATGAGTCTTGGGGATGTTCTTTGAATGAGTATTCTTCCTATCAACTTATATAGATAATCTTATATTTTATGTCATGTGTTTAACTCTGTTGTACATTATCTGTTAAATTTTATTTTATTGTGATAGATAAATACAAAAATAAATATTAATTAATATATTCGTTGATAGATCTCAATTATAATAAAATAAGAAGAGTTTAGTTTTTCTACAACACTGATACGATACGCAAAATACAACTGATTAAATCATCAACATTAAGATATACGACACAACAAAAAATATAGTTTATATTGTTATTTAAAACGTGGTTGTAAGATACCTATTGGAACTGCGGTTGCTAATGAACCATTCGGAGGTACTACTTGATTACGTTGATATTTTTTCAAAATAATACTTTTTAATTGTGGGGTAATGAAAACTAATGCGACACTTAATCCTACCATCGATAAACTAACCGAAAGCCATTCAATACGGAAAAAAAGAAGACTTTCTTCACCTGTGATTGATAGCATTATTAAAAGAACTAGGGATGGTAGTCCAAGAGTTAATAGTAGACCGACAGTTATAAAAATACGTCGTATCACAAGTAAATCCCGTTCTTGTCGTTTTTTAACTATAAACGTTTGGTTAATAGGTTGTCGACGAAGAAATATTGTAATGCGTAAATAGATAAACAACAATATTAAAACAGGATTTCCATAAGCGTTTAATATGCTCCAAAGAATGCCACGAATATTTGTGTATGGTATATAACAATAATATTCTTGTGGCAAATAAACAATATCATGCCAGAAAAGGACTGGACATTGTAGAGCACAAATGAAAATGAATTGAATAGGTGGTATAATAACATGCAATCGAAAATTTTGAAGCCACCTACGGGTTGAATACACAATTCGACACAGACGAAAGATAGCCTAAAGAAAAATATTTTCCAAATTGATATTATATTTTAGTCCATAATTACCTGATTGACAAAAGCCCAATATAATGTCGTGCAAAGAACAGGAAATATATATGCCGCGAAAATACACCATAATGATGCACCTGATTCTTTTCCATACAAATCTCCTAATAGTGATTGAATACTAAATGTAACTAATATTCCCGTAAAGCTGAAAATAAGTGGATAAATATTCGCACAATGAATAATAGTTACTTTATCCTCTTGATTCATACGATTATGAAAGAGATAATAGATGATATTAATAAAGATAATAAATGAAATCAAACATGTTAATATACTAACAACAAGTGTAATCAAATTGAGTGCAAATCCAATATTGTTCATCATGATTTAAATATGTTCCATTTAAAATGTGTTAATATCTCTTATGATATAAAAAAGAAATTCTTAAATAACTATATAATATCTAATAAACTTAAAGGAACTCATATTTTATATGATAGAAAAGCTTTCGCTTGCAGCAGTTTAAAAAAAAATTTTAATATTCTATGTAACAATAAACTCTAGTATTAAATCAAATATCATTAATCCGTAAACTGTCATTATATGTTCATCAAAAATGAATTCATTTAGAACAGAAGATTTCATGAATAAATGATACTAACGCAATCACAAATTCTAATTGATTTTTATAAAAAAAAGTCCTATCTCTGACCATTGTATTCAGTTTAATTTGATTCAAATATATTATTAGTATTAAAAGAATCATTGACTGTCATATATGACATTTAATAATGAATGAATAGATTTATTCAACATAATCTACGTATTTATTATTGCAAGGCTTTTATTTATGAATTAGTGGAAAATAAGATTACAACAAAGTGCAAAGCTCTCTGTATCTTCGTCACCCTTGAAGCATTTTTTAATTATGAAAAAAGCAATACAAAGTAGTCAAAGGGAATGTAATGTTATTCTGGTCAAAAGTTAATGCCGCTAACTATTTCAGCGGTTCTTGTTTATTTATTAAAAAAAAAGACATGAATAAATATTTGATAGAATGTTCACCCATTAGATTATTTGTTTATCTTTCAAATGAGGACATAATTACTTATCAACACTGAATGAAAAAATATTCAGGGAAGACCATAACCGAATTATAAGTATTAAAGAAATAAAGTTCAATAATATGTATGATAGATTTTCTCCTCAAAGATAAAAATCATCGATGAACTTATTTATATATAAGTTACTTTAGCTTAGAAAAGGTAAATACCACGTAACATAAAATTTTAATAGAAGGAATGAAGTTATAAAACAATCTTGGGGATGTTAAATAATAAGAAAGACGTGAAATCAACTCCATAGTACATAAGTTTTTGTAGAGAAAATTCGATTTATTATAAAATAGATAGCGTTTAGTTTATTTTAAAGATGTTATATGTATCAATTAGATAAGAAAAAAATGTAGGATTAAATATACAGTTCGTTTTATTTTGTTGATATAATCGTTGAATTAAACAAGTGGATAGCTGGCCATGGTAGCAATTCCACATTGATTTTTCTTGTTACGACTCATCCAGATGTATCCTTGGTTACCCCATGATGTTCCCCATGAGTT